CAACCTTCATATACAATTCCTTTCTCTAATAACCCGGGCAGTTGGTGCTGCTTGGAGGAGGATGGAACATGGATGATGGGACTTGCAGTACGTTCACTCACGTTCTGAGACCTCTGCGAACCTCATCCAATGACTGATCAAGACCAAACTTGGCACATAGACCTCTCATGACCTACTTTAGGTCCTGGTGTCATTTGGAAAAATCTGGAGACGGATGATGGGACGCAGTAACTTCACTCACTTTCTGAGACCACTGAGCCCCTCGCCAATGACTGATCAAGACCAAATTTGCCACACGGAGCCCCAATGACCCACTCTACATCCTGGTGCACTTTCGAGGAGGACAGACCATGGATGATAGGACTTCAAGTACCTCCACTCCCATCCCAAGACTGCTGCAACCCACATCTAATGACCAATCAAGACCAAACTTGGCACACAGAGCCCCAATGACCCACCCTACATCCCGGTGCTGTTTGGAGGAGGATGGACCACAGATGGTGGGACTCGCAGTACCTTCACTAACTTCCTGAGACCACTGCAAGCCATATAAATAACTGATAAAGAACAACCTTGATACACAATTCCTTTCTCAAATAACCCGGGCAACGCCGGGTCCCCAAGCTAGTATATAATAAAAGTCAAAGTTTGTATGTGTGGGAGTACAGAGGGCAGAGGGAGGACGTAGGGCAGAGGAGTTTGTGGCAGCTTTCTGATTGGCTGCCACTGTGGTGCTATTTGCATATGGTCTCTGATTGGCCTGCTTCAACAGGAGCCCCTGGTGGAGAAGAGGGTTCATGCCAGAAATGGGGACATGACAGAAGGAAATTTGCATATGGTCTCTGATTGACCAGCCTCAAATCCAAGATTCCGAGATGACAAAGAGAGGAAAGGAAAAGGCCAGGGGCTCTGTCAGAAAATTACCAACACAGACCAAACTTGGCACACAGAGCACCCATGACCCACTCTACATCCTACTGCAGTTTGGAGGAGGATGAACCATGGATGATGGGACTTGCAGTACCACCACTCACATTCTGAGACCGCTGTTAACCTTATCCAATGACTAATCAGGACCAAACTTCGCACAGAGACCTCTCATGACCCACTTTACGTCCTGGTGTGGTTTGGCCGGGGATGGACCGTGGATTATGGGACTTGCAGTACCATTGCTCAATTCTTCAGACCACTGCAACCCTCATCCAATTACCAATAAATACCAAACTTGGCACACTGAGTCTCCATGACGCACTCTACATCCAGGTGCAGTTTGAAGGAGGATGCACCATGGACGATGGGACTTGCAATACCTGCACTCCCTTCCTAAGACCATTACAACTGCCAACAATGATGGATCAGGATCACAATTTACACAGAGACCCAGCATGACCCACTCTACATCCTGGTGCAGTTTGGAAGAATTTGACAATGGATGATGGGACTTGCAGTCACTTCACTCACTTCCTGAGACCACTGAGACCCTCGCCAATGACTAATCAAGACTAAACTTGGCACATGGAGCTCCAATGACCCACTCTACATCCTGGTGCAGTTTGGAGGACAGACCATGGATGATGGGACTTCAAGTACCTCCACTCCCAAGACTGCTGCAAAACTCATCTAATGACCAATCAAGACCAAAGTTGGCACACAGAGCCCCCATGACCCACTCTACATCCTGCTGCAGTTTTGGAGGAGGGTTGACCATGGATGATGGAACTTCCAGTACCTTCACTCACATTCTGAGACCTCTGCAAACCTCATCCAATGACGGATCAAGACCAAACTTGGCACATAGACATCTCATGAACCACTATACGTCCTGGTGTTGTTTGGAAAAATTTAGAGATGGATGATGGGACTTGCAGTACCTTTGCTCACTTCCTGAGACCACTGAGACCCTCGCCAATGACTAATCAACACTAAATTTGGCACATGGAGCTCCAATGACCCACTCTACATCCTGGTGCAGTTTGGAGGGCAGACCATGGATGATGGGACTTCAAATACCTCCACTCCCTTCCGAAGATTGCTGCAACCCTCTTCTAATGACCAATCAAGACCAAACTTGGCACACAGAGTCCCCATGATCCACTCTACATCCTGCTGCAGTTTGAAAGAGGATGGACTTTGGATGATGGGACTTGCAGTACCTTCACTCGCTTACTGACACTACTGCCACCCTCATCTAATGACTGATAAAGACAAAACTTGGCACACAGAGCCCCCATGACCCACTCTATATCCTGCTGCTGTTTGTAGGAGGATGGGCCATGGATGATGGGACTTCAAGTACCTTCACTCACTTCCTGAAAATAATGCAGCCGTTATCCAAAGACCAATAAAGACCAAACTTGGCATACAGAACCACCATTACCCACTTTCTCTAATAACCCGGGCAACGCCGGGTCCCCAAGCTAGTAATCTATATAAATAAAAATGTATTGGGTTGTTTTTTCAGGCTATATGGCCATGGTCTAGAGGCATTCTCTCCTGACGTTTCGCCTGCATCTATGGCAAAAATGTATTGTTCGTTTGTGAGATTAACATAACTCAAAAACAACTGGACGAATTGCCACCAAATTTAGCCACAAGACATTACTAACCCAAGGAGTGACTATCACTCAAAAATTGATTTTGTCATTTGGGAGTTGTAGTTGCTGGGATTTATAGTTCACCTACAATCCAAGACCTTTCTCAACTCCACCAATGATGGAATTGAACCAAAAGTGGCACACAGGACTCCCATGACCAACAGAAACACTAGAAGGGTTTAGTGGGCATTGACCTTGAGTTTGGGAGTTGTAGTTCACCTACATCCAGAGAACACTGTGGACTCAAACAATGATGGATCTGGACCAAACTTGGCACGAATATTCCATATGCCCAAATATGAACACAGATGGGAGTTTGAGGGAAATAGACCTTGACATATGGGAGTTGTAGTTTCTGGGATTTATAGTTCATCTACAATCAAAGAGCATTCTGAATCCCACCAGTGATAGAATTGGGCTAAACTTCCCACACAGAACCCCCATGACCAACAGAAAATACTTAAGGCCATCCAGTCCAACTCCAAGAAAAGGTAAACAAAGCCCTCTTGACAAAGAGCCACCCAGCCTTAGATATAGATATATATGATTCACACACACACAAAGATATAGTATCATAGATTTGAAAGGGACCCCTAAAGAAGGACAATGATGTGTTGCATGTTCCAGAGTAGGCCAACCAGACAATCTTTACATCAACACTGACATAGAAACAACAAGAAGTACTGTTTATCCACAAGCATCAAGACATTGCATATATTATAAACCAATACTTTCTCATTACATTATTTTCAAGATCACCAGATTGGGCCACAGCAACGCGTGGCGGGGACGGCTAGTAGTAATAATAATAACTTTATTTATATCCCACCACCATCTCACCAGAGGGACTTGGGGCACCTTACAGACAGCACACAAAAGTGCCATAAACCATAACCACATAAGTATAGTCAAAATACATCCACAATTACAATAAAATAATATCAAATAAGCATAAAACAACATTCACAAAAGATCAATTACAAGAGATGATAATAATAATAATAATAATAATAATAATAATAATAATAATAATACTTTATTTCTAGACTGCACCTCTCCCCAAAAGGGACTCAGGGCGGTTTACAGCACAAAAACAGGCAAACATTCAATGTTTTACAAAGTAACTAACAACATCAAGAATAATAGAAAATAATCTATATAAATAAAAATGTAAAGTTCGTTTGTGGGATTAACATAACTCAAAAACCACTGGATAAATTGACACCAAATTTGGACACAATACACCTATCAGACCAACGAGTGACCATCACTCATTAAAACACTGAAAAACACAGCAGAAGGGACTTAAAAAGTCCCAAAAGCAAAAAGACACTACAGTGAGTGCACAAAAACGACGCCTCTGGCAAACAAAACACACAAAAGCATATCCACACTCTCTTCCGGACTACAGCTCCCTTACTTACTTACTTACTTACTTACTTAGGTGATCCCTCGTTAGCCGAGTAGGATAGTCTTCCAGGATCAGTGTTCTGGTGGGTCCGTAGGTGACTGTGGAACCCTATTCTTGATCTGCATCTTTTCCTGCAGTGAGGGCATTGGTTTCCAGGTGGAAGGCGGTCTCGGTCGGGGTTGGCTTGACGCACCTGCCTCTTGGCATGTTTCTCTCTTTCGCCCTCTATTCATGCCTCTTCAAATTCTGCAGCACTGCTGGTCACAGCTGACCTCCAGCTGGAGCACCTAAGGGCCAGGGCTTCCCAGTTCTCAGTGTCTATGCCACAGTTTTTAAGGTTGGATTTGAGCCCATCTTTAAATTTCTTTTTTTTTCTGTCCACCAACATTACGTTTTCCGTTCTTGAGTTCAGAGTAGAGCAACTGCTTTGGGAGATGGTGGTCGGGCATCTGGACAACGTGGCCGGTCCAGTGGAGCTGATGGCAGAGGACCATCGCTTCAATGCTGGTGGTCTTTGCTTCTTTTAGAACTCTGATGTTTGTCCGCCTGTCTTCCCAAGAGATTTGCAGGATTTTCCGGAGGCAGCGCTGATGGAATCACTCAAGGAGTTGCATGTGACGTCTGTAGACAGTCCACGTCTCGCAGACGTATAGCAGGGTTGGGAGGACAATAGCTTTATAAACAAGCACCTTGGTATCCCTACGGATGTCCCGGTCCTCAAACACTCTCTGCTTCATTAGGAAAAATGCTGCACTCGCAGAGCTCAGGCAGTGTTGTATTTTTTCAACACCGAAATACAGCTCCCAGCATCCCCTAGACCAGGCCCTTTAGGAGAGGAGGATGATCCAAATGCACTGCTTCCAAGCTACAAGTTTCCTTCTCCTTGGATTTCTTTGAGAGCATCCTAATCCCTGCATATTTCCAATGTCCTGTTCCTGGACTGCAACTCACAGCAATCCTCCAATAGATAAGAGAGACAGACAGACAGATAGATAGAGATAGGTAGGTAGGTTGCTAGATTTATCAGCAGGACTGCTGGGAGTTGCAGTCCAAGAATAGGTAGAGAAGGAAGAAAGGGGAGAAAGAGGAAGGGAAAGAAAGGGAAGGAAGAGAAGGAAGAAAAAGGAGAGAAGGAAAGAAAAAAAGGGAAGGAAGGAGAGAAAGAAAGAAGGAGAGAAAGAGGGAGGGAAGGTTGGCCACAGCAACGCGTGGCAGGTACAGCTAGTATATAATAATAGCAATAAACTTAAAATGAAAAAAATTAAACGTTAAGATAGGGGATAAACCAATTAGACAACAAACTAGGATATGAAAACATTAAACATATATCATTAAAAATCATTAGGCATAAAAGCCCCGAGCCAATATTTATAAGCTTACAATGTTGGCATTTCAATTTGGTACCACGTATGATCTATTTTTCTTATTCCTTAAATATGATGAATACTCTCTAAAGTCCTAAATGGTACCTGATGGTTAATCCATCATAAATTGTGCCAGGTTCTATTAATGTCCCACTCAAGCACCCATTTGGGAGACTTAGTTCTCTATTACACTGACTCTGGGCATGTAAAATGAGGAAGAAGAAGAGGAAGCAACAGCAGAAGAGGGAGAAGCAGAAAAAAAAGAGGCTTGAGGCAGTGTGCAACGGCTAAAACACAAGACTATTAAAGTACATATAACAATATACACAGAGTTAGAATGCAGTTTAAAATTCACCAAAATGCAAGTTAATATTCACAAGTGAAAATTGACTGGGTAGGCTTGTTGGAAGAGATAGGTCTTCAGCTGTGTCTTACATGATGACAGCTGATTTAGTCAGATAAGTTATTTCAAGACACAGTAAAATTTTCCTTTCAGTTGAGAAGGGGAAAAGGTACCTTTATGTACTGCAAGAGGATTTCGTCCTTTTGTAGGTGACGATGACAGATGTACGGTCCAATGTATTTCTCCAACGTGACTGGGATAAGTTCTGCTGCTGGAACTTTATCAAACATACGAAATACTATTGTATTTGCATCTCCCTAGGAGGCAGAAAACAAACAAACAACAATGGAAAAACAGTTGTTGCAAAAGGTAAGTCCACGCAGCCAAGGTGTTTAGGTCATTGATTTCCAGTATTATGTTCGCACAAAAGTCACTGTATCCACCAACACCAATTTGGATTTGGTGAAAAACCTTCATTCTTCTGTACCAAAATTTGTTTTGCCCATCTTTCTCTCACACACACAAACACATACAGAAACCAATTTATTACATATATACCCCGACTTTCTTCCTAAGGGTAGGTGGCTCTCCACATATTCTTGGATTTTGCAATATCTGGAGGATGTCAGAATGGCACATGGAAGAGGGTTTACACCACTTGAGCCTCCCAACATCCCACAACGTAGTTTTGGCTGAAAAAGTATGGCCGTGTTAAAGCAAACCACTGGATTTCATGACAAGCAAGGGTTTCAAGCCAAGGTCAAATCCAATTGTAGTCCCAAGTAGAGCAGACACGTTGAATTCAATGAGATTTGGGGAATCGGTGACAAACAAGTCCCATTCATGAGAGCTAGCACATAATCATAGAATTGGAAGGGGCCCAGGGGCTATTCAGTCCAACCCCTTTCTGCCAGGAAACAAAAGTACAATCAAGCACCCCTGACAAATGATAATCCAGCCTGTTTAAAAGCCTCCATATAAGGAGATTCCACTGGATTCCGAGGCAGAGAGCACCAGAGTTGAACAGCTCTAGTTCTCCCTAATATTCAGGTGGAACCTCCTTTCCATTGAACCCATGGATCCATTGAGTCCTAGTCTCCAGGGCAGCAGAAAGGAAGCCTCTCCCTATTCCTTAGGACAGCCTTTTGGATATTTATACATTGCTATCATGTCTCCTCTCAACCTTCTCTTCTGCAACTAAGCAGACCCAGCTCTTGATTCATATCTACATACCTTTGATCATTTTGGTTGCCCTCCTCTAGACACCTTTCAACTTGAATTGCTTTGCCCAGAACTGGATTATTATTCCAGGTGCGGTCTGACCAAAGTAGAAGAGAAGGGCACCACAACTTTGTTGATCTAGACACGACACTCCTTTTGATGCAACCTAAAATCACACTGGCTTTTTAGCTGCTGCATCACACTTTTGACTCATGCTCAACATGTGGTCTACTAATTTATTATTTATTTTATTTACAGTATTTATATTCCACCCTTCTCACCCCAAAGGGGACTCAGGGAGGATCACAGAACACATATACGGCAAACATTCAATGCCGTTATACACTGGCAGGACAGACACAGATCCTGAATGGTTGATGTTTTACCATTGACAGACCTGGCGTTCAACAGCACCACCTTTAATCCGGGAGGGCCGTCTACCTTGGTACCCAAATTTACCATGTCGGGAGAACATTTTGGAATTTTCTTCAAGGTTTGCTCACGAATTGGTTTTTTAACTCTCCTTTTCCCATATCTCCCCCTCCCCATCATCACCTCTATGCCCCCCCCCCCCGAGGACTGGAATTCCCCCCCTCCCTCCATCCCCTTTCGTTCTCCACATCTTGATGGTCCAATATTGCACTGTTATATGATCATCAGTAACCCAGCCAGTTGTTATATGATCATCAGTAACCCAGCCATATACATCAGTAACCCAGCCAGTTGTTAAACCATCATTTCCACCATTCTTATAGTTCAGTTCCTCCGTTTCATATAACCATCTCCAATTCTCCCCTGCCATTCGACCATTATTGAAGATGATTATAAAGTGCACAATGTAAAGTGCAAATGCAGACTTAAAGTGACAGTTCAATAGCAGCATTGGAATTAATAACCAACAGATACCTATCCGTTAATTAAAATGCTAGCAAGTCATCTATCACAGCAATATAATGAGGAATTAAATTACAATGGCATTTATTCACAGTGCAATTATTGTTGGCAAGAAATTGGCAATTGGCAGTACTAAATTAACACTGGGTAGGGACAAAGGGAAAGTGTAAAGTGCAAGTCACAATAGCTTGAGAGGTACTCGCAGCTTGACCTTGGGTTCCAGGAGGGAACCGTATAATTCCTCTGCTGATGACCTTCAGTCAATCTGCAGCTGTTGGCAATCTTCTCTGAGCATAGATGGATCAGTAGCACCACAACACACAATAAGCCCTGTTAAATCCACTGCCCAGGATGGAACACAACAATAGTACTGCAAGTTAATCACTCCACACTCAGTTAATCACTCCACACAAAGAAGGAAAAAAGCAAATCCAATGAGTTGGGTAGGTCTAAACTCCTTAGTCAAAACAGACTTCCTGTTGGATGGATGGAAGGATGACTGACCCTTGGCAAGCCGAGGACGTCTATGGTGTCAGCTGGCGACTGACAACTGGATACAGATACAGATAGTAAAAGAGCAGCTTCACAAACTAACAAACCCACAGACTGAATGGAATGGCGGTCAGAACCACGCGTTGCAGGCCCGCAGGAGCCGCCACACACTGGGAGGCCCCGATGGCCAACACAAAGAGCTCCTAATCCTGATCCTGTCCTCTGGAGTATTAACTCTCCCTCCCAATTTGGTGCCATCTGCAAACTTGATCAGCATGATGCAGTGTTTCTGAGTGTCAGATTAGGACTAGGAGACCAAGGTTCAAATTTTGGCTCAACGAGGAAAACACTGCAGATGATGTCCTCGGAGAGGGTCTTGCCAAGAAAAACTAAAACAGGGTCACTGTTAGTTGACATCAACTTGCAGACGCATAACAACAAACTCTCAGAAAGCATTTAGACCTGAGATCTTCAATCTGAGTCCACCCCTCTGCTTCTCTGAGAATATTGGCACATGTCATGCTTTAGCACTGCAATTTCCCTCACCTTTTCAAAGTCGCAGAGGGCTAGCCGACAGTTGTACTTCCGGTAGAGGTCCAGTAAGCCCTGAAGAGCAGCAACCAAGTCTGACAGGCTCTTGATTTCATCCTGAAATACAAACCAGGGATGATGTTTCTTGAGTCAACAGTCTCATGCAGCACTTTGTGGATCAAGGAAAGCAAAGAGGGGGACAGGAGAGGAATGTGAACTTCCAGGTTTAGTGATACTGTAGACTTGTAACATTTTACACTCATGAAATGAAATGACAAATTAATAATCTTGTTGAGGGATAAATCACTGGACACATTTTCAGAATGGAAACCCTTTTATCACTATACATCTGAGAGAAAGGGGAAGACTTTATATATAGGTTTGGAATAATAATAATAATAATAATAATAAACTTGGGAAGTGTTCGACTTATGATTTTGAGATACGAAAGCCAGCATATATATCTTGCTTGCTGTGACATACTGTGTTTTTGTGTCAGTAAAATAATAATAATAATAATAATAATAATAATAATAATAATAATAATAAATTCATTACTCGCCTCTCCTTGCGGCTGGAAATATAAACTGTTAGGACATTTATTTTAGATTGAGATAAACATAAGTAAAGTGTTTGTGGGACATAAAGTGAAAGAAAAATACTAAATTATAGAGAAATTGAAAAACAGGGAAGCAAGAAATCCACGTTTACAATTAATGTATATATGTGTGTGTTGTAGTTTAGAATTCTATGTAATTAGTGTAGAGAGCCATGTTGTGTAGTTTGATATGTAATTGTTAGGTATGTCTGTGATTTCATGTATGCAAACATATTGTTGTTTGTTTATTTCTATCTTTCTTCTGTTAAGAAACATTAAAATACGTACTGTAAAAAATGAGATACAAATGAAAAATGTGCATGTTTTCACAGGAGTCTAAATAGGTGCTCTGTTCTCTTCTACTTTTCTATGCCCCCAAGTGTAGCAGAATCCTTACCAAAGGAACTGAGTGCCAGGAGGATGCCAATCCAACTTCCCCTTGCCTTTGACTGGTAAAAAACACTTGTGCCATTTCAAGCCCATTTTCTGGCCAATTGGCCTGTTTGGGAAAAAAGGACACATGTATGATATTTCTAGAGATATCAACCTAAATGATATTCTTTTTTTTTCAAGAGAATGACTCTGCTTTACCTTATCAGTTAACTCAAGGTTCCGTGCGCCTTGCTCCAGCCACTTTGCGATTCTTCTCTAGAAGGGAAATATCAAACTAGTTTATATAGTTTGAAAAGGGAAATATCAAACTAGTTTATATATATCTGAGGATGCTTGCCATAGATGCAGGCGAAACGTCAGGAGAAATGCCTCTAGAACATGGCCCTATAGCCCGAAAAAACCTACAAGAACCTAGTGATTCCAGCCATGAAAGCCTTCGACAATACAAACTAGTTTATATTTTAAACAAGCATGGTGCTCATTCCCAAACCCAATCAGCCTGAGTCCCAATTCTGGGGGAAAGAGCAGGATATAAAGAAAATCATTCCCAGTCAAAATCTACGCTGGTGTGAACATTACTGTAGCACTCAGAGTGGCCCCTCGAGATAATCTGTGTCAACCTCAAGGCCCATGGGCCAAATGCGACCTGCCATGTCCTTTGATTGGCCCTCCAGATGCTGGGCTATAGTTCCTGTATTCCTCAACAGATATGACTGGAGCTGATGGAAGTTGGAATACAGTAACACCTTGGGAGGCTGCTGTTTTTTCTGTTGAGTAAGGAGAGTGGGCTTTAAATGTAGATACAAGGCTTAGGGTATCATGTCTGACTTCAAAATGTTATTTAATCTTTCAACAACTCAAGAGCCACAAGTGCCGTTGAGTTGCAATTCCCACAATCCCCAGTCCACATGGTGGATCATCCAAAGTGATGGGAGTCATCCTTCAAAAACATCTGGGGACCCAAACTGGGTAAAAACTTAAGAGTACTGACCACTATGTGAAAGAAATTATAGTTGGCCCTCTCTCTATATCCACGGATTCTCCGTCCATGAATTCAACGGCCCTTTAAAGGCACCCATAAGAGAGATAATCATCATCATCATCATCATCATCATCATCATCATCATCATCCACTTTATTTATATTTTGCTTTATCTCCCCGGAGGGACTCAGAGCAGATTGTAGTATATAAGGCAAACTTTCAATGCCTTTTACACAACAAACGACATAGAATACACAGATAAGGTAAAGGCCTTCCCCTTTTCATCTCCGGTATCTGGAGGCGATGCTCAGCTCCAGCCATGGGGAGGTGCTCTTGTTCCATTTTCCATGCCAAGGAACCTGCTTTCTGTAGACTTCTGAGATATTTTTGCTGGCATGTCTGCATAAGGAGCCCTTTTACCTTCCCACGGAGGCGGGAAGGTCTACACCGATCTACTCAAACTGTTAGGCAGGCAGAAGCTAGGCCTGACTGTTGGGAGCTCGCCCCGACTTGCAGCTTCGAACTGCTAACCCTCCATTAAGAAGCTTTTCCTGCAGCTAGCGGTTTCAACCACTGTGCTACTGTGGCCCCTCAAATGTGAAAATCAATTGAAATGATTTTGACACATGTGCAGTAGATTATTTCTGAATACACCACAACATGAAAAAGAGATTCTCACACACACATTAATCACCCACGAGATTTTACCTCTCCTTGAGGCAAAAACCGCCTCACGAAAGGAATGACGACATTCCCAAGCCACAACCACAGCTCTTTGTGGGAAGCCATAGCGGAGATGGTGCTTAGTAGTTGATCTAGCATTTTCTCATCCAAACTTTTCTCAAAGTCAGCCTGGAAAGGAGGAAGGAGATATTTGTATAACCAAGGGATGAGTAACAATGGGCCAACATGCCATCCCACCGTTTTTTGTGCCCTTCCTTTCTCTTCCAAGCGAATAGAAAAAAAATGGGTTTGAAAAAGAAATATCATGTATAAGCCAAATAGTGGGGGAATCAATTAACTTCATGGGAGCTCCATTAATGATTTCTGTATTCAAAAGTGAGAATAAGGATCTGGTAAATCAAAATCTTGTATTACTCGTGTTATGTGCTGCAAGACTCAAAACAGTGAAAACCTGGAAAAAGTTTGAGACTCTGAAAATAAAGATGGGATTAAACAGGTTAAGGGTGATAGTGCTATTGGAAAAGTTAACTTATAAAGTATTGCACTCCAGATCTGAGAACACCTATGACCACAGCACCACACAAGAGTCCAGAATATAAGAAAACAGCTTATTGTAGAAACATGCAGAGTATAGGAAAAAATCAGGAATAACGAAAGTAGATGTATAACCCAAAAAGGTTTAGCAATAAGTGATAATCCAACAGGAATCCAAATGTTTTTTAAAGATTCAAAGGTAATACAGTTCAGGAATATCCCAAAGTCACAAGAACAGCTTAAGTCCACAAGCAAAAGGTATACTTAGTAAAACTTGAACAGAAACCCCAAGAACACAGAAACTCCCAGAATACTTGAATCCCAAACCAAGGCTTGACTTGAAACAAGAACCAGAGAACTCAGGCCTAGTTTCTCACTTGAACGCTACATTGCCTAAACTAACTCTTATGTAAACAACTCGCTCATTAACAGGCACACATGGAGTCATGCCGTTTCCCCACAAATTCTCTCCCCAACTTTCCCACACAAGTGCTCTGACCTACAATGCCTATTTTCTACTCTGATCTGTAAAATAAGAGTTTTGTTGTCCAAGAAAGATTGTGGTTGAGAAATCAATGAGCACATTACAATGGCTTATAAAGCCCTAAATAGTTCCGGCCCAACTTACCCGTCCGAACGTATCTCCCTTTACGAACCACTGAGCACTTTAAGATCATCTGGGGAGGCCCTGCTCTCGGTCCCGCCTTCGTCACAAGCATGTTTGGCGGGGACAAGAGACAGGGCCTTCTCAGTGATGGCCCCTCGGCTATGGAATGCTAATATAGGAAATCGAATGACCTGACAATGGAATTGGACAATGCTTGAGAATAACGAGATGCTGATGATGTTGCTTTTATTGCCTTTGTGATGTCCTATATTGTTTAATGTTTTTTATCTATTATGTTTTATGTATACTGATTTGTTGGAAACCACCTTGAGTCGCCAATTGGTTGAGAAAGGCGGTTTACAAATACAGAAAATAAATAAATAAATAAATAAATGATGATACGTAGCAGATAGAAGGAGAACAACATAGAAGGAACTGAAGTGGGATACAACAATTGTATTACATTTTAAATAAATAAATCAGAAAAATATGTTTAAATTATAAAAAAGAAAGGAACTTTCTTCTCTAAAGGTTTAGGAAAAGGAGAGAAATCCACAGGTTTTGGGAGAGAGATGCAGGTCACAATCAGTACTGGGAGAAGTATCATAATAGGGCCCTGGATGCATGGACCTTCTGTTAGGAGTGTAGCATATTCTAGATATTTCAGAAGAAAGAAGCATCAGGGGCAGCGTTGCAAGGTACAACAAGAGGAGCTGTTCAAAGAGAAGATATCTCAAGTGCGTTACCTGGTGTCGTAGCCAGATGTACTGTGCAGAGTAGAGGTTGCCTTCTTTTAGCTGCAGAAGGACATCCTTGAAGATGTCCTCATTGTGCAGAAACTCCAGCCAAGACATTCCACTAGAAGCACAAGGGTTTGGGATTGGGAGACAGACATTCCAGACATGAAAACAAGGCACTGAATAGTAGGGGGTGTCTTTGAAAAGCACTGGAAACAAGGCTGATATTGGTAATGCAATTCCTGGCATTGCAATCTTTAGGTGAGGCTTCACTGCTAATGAAGACATATGAAAGAGGGTCGTGTATGAATCAAATAGATTTCAATGAATACAAAAGCCACTTATCCAAATTGTTATTTCGATAAACCTCACCGTCTAGACATTGCTGCATAGCACCTTTCATTTTCATAGGAAGGGCGAAAATTTATTTATTTATTATTTAAACTTATATGCCGCCACTCCCCTGGGGCTCGGAGCGGCTTACAAGAATAGCCAAAATCTAACAAAATTTAAAAGCAATTTAAAACAATTTAAAAACAACAATATCAAACATTAAAAGCCTGTTGAAACAGGTATGTCTTACATGCCCTGCGGAAAGCTGGTAAGTCCCGCAAGGCATGGACTTCAGGTGGCAGAGTATTCCAGAGTGATGGTGCCACTGCTGTGAAGGCTCTGCGTCTGGTTGCTGTTAGACACAAAGTCTTGACACTGGGGACTTCCAATAGATCTTGGTCCTCAGAACGGAGGGATCTCTGGGGTTGGTAGGGGGTGAGGCAGTCCCTCAGATACATCGGCCCCAGACCATGCAAGGCCTTAAAGGTGAGTACCATCACTTTGAAAGTGATCCGGTGCTCAATTGGTAACCAATGCAGCTGTAGTAAGATTGGGGTTATGTGGCATCTCATCGGAATTCCCGCAAGAAGCCGAGCAGCTGCATTTTGTACCAACTTGAGCTTCCGGATCACCGACAGAGGAAGGCCAATGTAGAGGGCATTACAGTAGTCCAGTCTTGAGATGACCGTGGCCTGGATCACCGTAGCTAGGTCGTCCCTGGACAGGTAGGGGGCCAGCCGTCTAGCCTGCCGCAGATGAAAGAAGGCGGTTCTGCTAACAGCGGAGACCTGGGCCTCCATCGTCAGCAGAGGGTCCAAAAGGACTCCCAGACTCTTTACCAATGATGACGGGCGTAGCGCCTCGCCATCCAGGGTAGGCAGCTGGATGTCCCCACTGCCCGGTTGACCCAGCCATAGGATCTCCGTCTTTGCTGGATTCACCCTCAACCTGCTGGCACGCAGCCATCCAGTAACGGCCTCGAGGCACTGATGGAAACAATCGGGTACAGAGTCCGGTCGGCCTTCCATCTTCAGCACCAGCTGAGTGTCATCGGTGTACTGATAACACTCAAGCCCAAAACCTCGAACCAGCTGAGCAAGTGGTCACATATAGATGTTAAATAACAGAGGGGAGAGAATGGCCCCCTGAGGAACCCCACAAGATAGAGGGGACCTCTCAGAGACCAGGCCTCCCCTCTCCACTCGCTGTCCACGGTTGTGAAGAAAGGAGGACAGCCAGTTTAAAGCTGTCCCCCTGACTCCAGCAACAGCAAGGCGGTGGGTCAAAAGATTGTGGTCGACTGTGTCAAATGCTGCTGTGAGATCCAATAACACAAGCAGCGCTGACCCGCCCTGGTCAAGCTGGCATCGAAGGTGATCCGTGATGGAGACCAGCACAGTCTCTGTCCCATGCCCCGCACGGAAGCCGGACTGGAAGGGATCTAGTCCGGCTGTGTCGTCTAGGAATTGCTGCAACTGCTCCGCTGCTGCCCTCTCAATCACCTTGCCCAGGAACGAGAGATTCGAAACTGGGCGGTAACTGGAGGGAACCGAACAATCTAAGTCTGGTTTCTTCAGCAGGGGAGAGACCACCACCTCTTTTAAACCCTCTGGAAAAACTCCTTGCTCAAGGGAGCTGTTTAAAATCTTCAACAGAGGGTCGCGTAATCCCTCCAAGCAGGATTTCACCAACCAAGAGGGAGCAAGTGGTCGGTCTAGCTGCAGCTATGAGCCTATCGACAGCCCCTGCGTCCAGCGGGATGAACCGGTCGAGGATGGGCCCAGCAAGTGGCCACGGAGTCTCAAGTTCTCTCACTGTATCAATTGTGGCAGGGAGGTCCCGGCGAAGTAGCGAGATCTTGTCTGCAAAGTAGCTCTGAAAAACCTCGGCTGAAGGACTTTTTGGGACAGTAGGAACCGTCGTTAGAGATCAAATTATTTTGAACAATTTTGCCGGGCGCGAGCTAGCAGACGTTATCAAAGAAGCATAAAATACTAGCTTTGCCTCGGTGATAGCATGCTCATAGGACTCCCTAAATGCCTCATAAGCTGATCTCGATGCTCTGTCACGGAGTTCTCGCCACACGCCCTCCAGCCGTCTCTTTTCTTGCTTCATCAGTCGAAGTTCCTCGGTGAACCAAGGAGACCGATTTCGGCGGGGTCTGAGAGGGCGTCTAGGGGCGATCTCGTCGAGTGCATTGGATAGCCTGATGTTCCATGTGTCCACCTGCACATCGATCGAGTCGCTGGCAGGCTCCAGATCCCTCAGAGCATTCCGGAACCTACTGGGTTCCATAAGTCTCCTTGGGCGAGCCCAAATTGGCTCGGCGCCCTTGCAGCGTGGGTAGGCATGCTCCAACCGGACTCTCAGGGCGCAGTGATCCGACCATGGAACCTCTATTGTGGAGGCTTGGGTCACTTGAATTCCTGCGCTGAAAATCAAATCTAGCGTGTGTCCCGCCCGATGCGTGGGCCCAGTACTACAAAGCGAGAGTCCTAGTGTCTCCATGGTAGACACTAGGTCCACAGCCGCTAATGAACAAGAGTCTGCATCAGCGTGGACATTGAAATCCCCCAAGACGATAAGTCTGGGGAACCTCAAGGACCACTCCGACACAGTCTCAAGCAGTTGGGATAGGCTGTCTGCTGGTGCGCTAGGCGCACGGTACACCAGCAGAAAGGCTATGCTCTCACAGGAATCCCACACCAGGCCAACACTTTCAATGCCAGAGATGCTCAGCACAGGAACTGCCCTAAGAGAAAAACTTTCTCGGGCGAGCACAGCCACCCCACCCCCCCGCTTCCCAGTCCGCATGTCAAATCCTTATTTCTACCTTTACAGAAGCACCGCCTTGTAAAGTGTTGTCGGCAGAATCTGAATTCTATTCCTATTCTTCTTATTACTATTAATAATAATCTATACACATAATAAAAGTTAAAATCTGTATATATTTGTGTGGCTGGCTCCTGCCTCCACAAACAGCTATAGCTCCCATCATTCAGGAGACACCAATTGCCCTGCCTCCAATGACACTCTGCAGGTTATCATGAGTGCCATGAACATGTACAAGAGCCTTGCCACTATCCTCCTGAACACCATACTGCCCACCACCCAAGTGAAGGCAATCATATAAGGACCATTTCATCCTAGATTTTATGTGTTTTCTCCACAACAGACATCCCAGTGTTTCTGACTCTCTCCATTAGTGTGGAATTTGCATAACCCTGCCCAGTGCCTCTCCCTTAACCCTTTCCTATTCTTTTCTATGGCACATGGCAAACAGAGGATTTGATCAGCAACTGAACATACTAGAGAAGTTTGAGGAGAATTCACCATGATTTGTAAGAGTTGTAGGCATTGGGATACATAGTTCACTTGCAACCTAAGAACTCCACTCTGAACTCTACCAACAATGGCCTTGGAACTTACTTGGAACACCAGCTGCACCAGCTCCACTGGCTGCCGATCTGCTACCGGGCTCAATTCGAAGTGCTGGCGTTGGCCTTTAAAGCCCTAAACGGTTCTGGCCCAACTTATCTATCCGAACGTATCTCAGCCTATCAGCCCACCAGGACCCTAAGATCTTCTGGGGAGACCCTGCTCTCTATCCCGCCGGCTTCACAAATGCGGCTGGCGGGAACGAGAGACAGGGCCTTTTCTGTGGTGGCCCCTCGGCTTTGGAACACCCTCCCCATAGAGGTACGATCAGCCCCCTCGCTGATGGTGTTTCGGAATAGATTGAAGACATGGATGTTTAAACAAGCATTCGGTTAATCCGTTGCAACGAATTTTGATGACTAAAGGATTGGTAATCATGGACGATGAATTTTGGATTGCGATTCCAGTTACGAGATGCATGGGATTGTTGGCCCAATAATTTGTATTGTATATGTGTTTTATGCTTTTAAACTGAATACTGTTTTTTTTAAGTGTTGTAAACCGCAATGAGTCGCCGACTTAGGCTGAGATATTAGCGGTATACAAGCGCATAAATAATAAATAATAAATAAATAACACAAAACCACAATGACCAAGAAAAAATACTGGAGGTCTTTGGAGAGATTTAGAGGAGTTGTAGTCACCTACATCCAGAGCACACTATGAACCCAACCACGGATGGATCTGGACCAAACTTGGCACGCATACCCAAAATGCCCAAATCTGAATACTGTTGGATTTTGAGGGGAATTGGCCTGGACATTTTGGAGTTGTAGGTACTGGGATTTACAGTTCACCTGCAATCCATGAGCACTCTGAACTCCACCAAAGATGGAATTGGACCAAAGTTGGCACATTTAGTCCCCATGACCAGCAAAAGATACTGGAGGTCTTTGGGGAAAATTCTCCTTGATTTGGGGATGTTGTAGTTCACCTGCATCCAGAGAGAACTGTAAACCCAAACTAGGCACACATACCTGACCTGGACCAAACTAGGCACGCATACCTGATATGTTGAAGTTTGATTACTGGAGGGATTTGGGAGGGAGCTGATCTTTTTTCTGGGAGTTGTAGTTGAGCAACAACCAGAGAAACTGTGACTCCCACCGATGATGGACATGGACCAAACTCGGCAAACAGAACCCTCATGACTGACTCACCATAGTGGGAGTTGTAGTTTACCTTACAGCCAGAGAGCACACTGAACCTGACCGATGACACAACTACAACAAACTTGCTCAACATGAAAAAAATTTAAGTACTGATGAAGTTTCTCGAGGTTAACTTGGCATTACGTCAGTTGTACCTAATCCACAACCTTATGCATTTTGTAGAATTTTAAAAATGACTTTTTCAAATAACCCAGGCAACGCCGGGTACCCAAGGTAGTAACAATAACAAGAAGAAGACAAAGACGAAGAAGAAGAAGAAGAAGAAGAAGAAGCAATTGTTTGAGAAAGTTGTCATTTATGCATGTATGCACACGCATATTAAAAAAAGAACAAGGCCAACCTGAATTTCTCAGACCCAAACGCACCACAAAATGTCACCAGCTTTGTTTGTGCCCGTAGTACCTACAGAAGGACATAAAGACCTATTTTACAAGACAAATCTGCAAATGTTAAATCCAGATGAAAAGTAAACCAAGAAGCTAGCTTTTTTTTCTGAATCACTACCTGTCCTTGTTGCATATCATCAGGAGGGTTGGTGCCAGGTCTTAAGGAAAATAGTTTTCCGAACTCTGGCAGCACCAAATTTCTGGGCATCTCTCCCTAGAGAATTCTTCCCCTTCTCTTACAACCTTGACTGGGGCCTTGATTTTTTTTAAAAAATTACTATGCATTTCCCCTTGCTATCTCTGCAGAAGCTTAATCTTCAGATGTCTCCCTGATGTTATCCATTACGTGTGAGACAAATAAATAAAACATGTACTTCACTCTGTACATAGCCAGAGACCAGGGAAAGGCAAGACCTGACTTCTCCTTTCTTAGCCAGATCCCATAATATGAAGGTCAGCATCAGTTTAGTGTTGTTACCCCTGTGTCAAGCTGCGAATCCTCCATCAAAAGCAGGGCAGGACTTGCATCATCTCTCTTCAAGGTCTGAAACGAGGACATGAAATGCCACTTGAATTTGAACCCATTAGAACCCAGTGTTTCTCATTCTCCCCACTGGTGTGGAATTTGCATGAACCTGCCCACTACCTCTCCCGTCACCTTTTCCTATTCTTTTCTATGGCACACAGCAAACAAAGGAATTGATCAGCAACTGAACATACTAGAGAGGTTTGGGGAGAATTCACCATGATTTATAGGTGTATAGTCCTGCGATGTATAGTTGACCTGCAATCTAAGAGCACTCTGAACTCCACTAATGATGGCCCTGGAACCAACTTGGCACACAGAACTCCCATGACCAACAAAACATACTGTAAGTCTTTGGCGGGATTTATAGGAGTTGTAGTTCACCTACATCCAGAGTGCACTATGAACCCAAACAATGATGGATCTGGACTAAACTTGGTGTGCATACCCAATATGCACAAATGTGAATACTGGTGGGTTTTGAGAGGAATTGGCCTGAAAATTTTGGAGTTGTTGGTACTGGGAATTATAGTTCACCTGCAAACCATGAGCACTCTGAACTTCATCGAAGATGGAATTGGACCAAACTTGGCACACAGAGCGTCCATGACCAGCAAAAAATGCTGGAGGTTTTTGGAGAAAATTCACCTTGATTGGAGGGAGTTGTACTTCACCTACATCCAGAGAGCACTGTGAGCCCAAACACCGATGGATCTCGACCAAATTTGGCACATATACCTGATATGCCGAAATTTGATTACTGGAGGGGTTTGGGGGGAACCGACCTTCTTTTCTGGGTGTTGTAGTTCACCAGAGGAACTATGACTTCCAACAATGATAGAACTGGACCAAAATTGGCACAGTACCCCCATTACTAACTCAACCTACTGGAGGAGTTTCAGGGGACTGACTCACCATAGTGGGAGTTGTAGTTTACCCTACAGCCAGAGCACACATTGAACCCAACTGATGATACATCTACAGCAAAATTGCCCAACATAACAAACTTTAAGTACTCATGGGGTTTTTCGGGGTTAACCTGCCATTATGTGAGTTGTACAATTTAAAAAATGACTTTTTCAAATAACCAGGGCAACACTGGGTACCCAAGCTAGTATATAATAAAAGAACTAGACAGCCCTTTGTCCATTTTAGAGCACTTCTTTTAAAACAAAGAAGAAAAATTGAGTCAATTTAAAGGGTGAAAGGGGAAAGATTGATACAAGGAACAACTTATTGTCATCAGAAAAAGCTATTCAAATGGTACAAATTAAAAATAAAAATCAAGGCCAATTAATGGCCTTGGTAGCGATTGGTACAGATAAGCATATTACAGGAAAATATAATAAAAAAGGAATAGAATTGGCAGTGCTGTATTTTTATAAAGCTATGTAAGTAATGGAAGGGTTGGGGGGTATAAATGATGGGATAAGACAATTGTATAATTTTTAAATATTTTGGAATTTTAAAATATTTAATTTAATTTAATTTAAAAAATACTACTTTAATTTTCAGTCCAGCGGGCATTGTAATGTCTATGGTCTCAAAGAATACAACACAAGCATCTTTACTAGCAGGTTGCGTGAAAACTAGAAACATAGATGGAGTCAAACTAGTTTAAGCTCTGAATCAGACTAAAGCGTACATTGAAACCTACCCTGCTTTGCGCATAATCCAACATTTCCTGAGCAATCTCATAGGTCGACCACGGGGTATGGATGCAACTCTCCACCACAAAGCGGCTATCCTATTCAGAGGAAAGGTAAAATGGGGGGGGGGGGGAGGAGTTTAATCTTCAAAATAAGTTGGTCAAACTCATAAGCCAAGCAAATCCATAATAGATGCCTACCTTTATCTTATTGAGGGTTTCTTTAGCTTGAGCCAAAAGCGTCAAATAGGCCAATGGTTTGACATCCCCAGCAGATTCAATAGCCAAGCCCTCCACAACGGAGCTCCATTTCACTTTGTAGACAAGCTGTTTGGTTTTTTTTAAAGACACAATACCCATAAGAAAGTAATTATTTCTCATCTAAAACAGAAATTTTACTCTAGAATAGAGTAGGAGGTATTTGTTATCTTCAGAATGCACTCTGCAACATTTGTGTTTTTATCCCTGAAATATAGTTTAGAAAACCAAACTGTACGATAGAGAGTACCTACCACTATAGGGCATTGGTGTATTTGTACATTCAGTAAACTCAACATTCTTTCAGATTCTGTATGTCCCCGAAAACAAGACCAGATTTTTTTTAAAAATAATTTTTATTGACAGTTTTGTTCAAGTGTACATCGAGAGAGTGGTAATCATCGACATATCAAATATCAACTATTTATCTTAAAATAAAAAGGAAGAGAGAGATGGAAGAGGATAGGGGAAAAGAAAGAAAAAAGAAAAAAAACCGAGGGGGGTGGGGCAGGGTGTGTAAGAGATTGAAAAGTGTGACGGGGAGTGTTAATTCACTTAGTTACTGATTAGTCCCGAATAGCATTGTTAGTACTATCTTCAATTGGGGTTATCTTCTTGACTTCTTTTTTATGTGTCGATTATTATCGATTATAGTCGATTATTGGTTATCTTTGAGGTATCTCTCCACTGGAGTCCAGTCAGTCTTGCTTACACCCGTCCTCTGTTTGGTTGCCATGCATTGTGTTAATGCATCCATATTCATTATATCCATTAGTTTTAATTTCCACTCTTCTTTCGTGGGTGGTTCTTTATTTTCCCACTTTCTTGCAATCACCAGTCTTGCCGCTGTTGCCATGTGGAACAGAAGTTTGTCTTTGTTCCTTTCAATATCAAAATCAAGTATTCCCAGTAAATAGTATTCCGCTTTCATCTCGTACTTTAAGTACATTATTTTATTCACAAGCCTATGAATCTCTCTCCAGAATTTCTGGACTTTCTCACAAGTCCACCAAAGGTGGAAGAAAGCACCTTTCCTCCTTTCACACTTCCAACATGTTTCAGAAACATTTTTGTAACATTTAGCTAATTTACTGGGCGTCATGTACCACTGGTAAATCATTTTAGTCCAATTATCTCGTAGGTCGTAAGAATTGATCCATTTTAATTTGGTCTTCCAGATTTTTTCCCATCCGTAGTACCGATTGTGCGTCCTAAGTTTGCCGTCCATTTTGAGATACAGCTCTTTGTTTCATTTTTTTCCGTCTGCCAGTCTAGTAAAATCTTGTATAATTTGGTGATTTCTTTTTTCTCAGATGTCATTATCTTCTCCCATTGCTTTTCTCCTGATTCAAAACCAACTCTTTTGTCTTTGTTGAAAGCCTCATTCATCTGTCTATATTGAAACCACGTAATTTTTCCATACGATGTCCTAATTTCTTCCAGGGTCTTAATTCTGTAACCCTCTCTTTCTTTTTTCAAGATATCTTTGTATCTAGGCCAATTTTCCCATCCCAGTTCTCTCCTTTGTGTAGCCTCTAAGGGGGAGACCCATAGAGGCACTTTTTGATGGAATTTTGATATGTATTTTTCCCAGATTCTAATCAGTGAAGACCGGCAAAATGATTGCCAAAATTCTTTTCTATTTTTCTTTTCGCGTACCATATATACGCGTGCCAGCCGCTTCGTAAGTCATGTCCTTCCAACGCGAGATCTTTTATTCTGCTGATATTTGCCCAATCCTTTATCCAGATTAATCCGCATGCGTCGTGGTATGTTTGAAAATCGGGTAGTCCTAGGCCGCCTCTTTCCTTAAGGTCAATCAAATTCGTATATTTTATTCGGGGTTTCTTCCTGCCCATATAAATTTTGTAATTTCTTTGTTCCAGTTTTTGAATGTCTGTCTGTTCCTAATTATTGGAATTGCTTGAAATAAGAAGAGAAGCTTTGGCAGGACCATCATTTTAATGGCTGATATCCTGCCTAATAACGATAGATTTAAAAATTTCCATTTGGTCATTTCCTTGCTGATCTCCTTTCCATTTAGTTTCGTAATTATTTTTAAGAAGATGAGAGTTTTTTGCTGTTAGGGTTATGCCTAGGTATTTGATTTTCTCCACTACTTGTATCCCATTCTTTTCCTCTAGTAATTTTTGCCTTTCTTTTGATATGTTTTTAGCCAGTATTTTTGTTTTGTTCTTGTTTAAGTTGAAACCTGCTACAAAGCCAAAGTCTTCGATTTTGCTGATCCACTTTTCCAGGTTGTCTATCGGATCTTCGACCATACAGATCACATCATCTGCATAGGCCCTGAATTTGTATGAATGTTTTCTAATCTTTGTTCCTTTGAGTGTAACATCTTTCCTTATATTATTTAGTAGTGTTTTTAATGACATTATAAATAAGAGTGGGGACAACGGGCAGCCTTGCCGTGTTCCCTTCTGTATATTTATGCTCTCCGTTGTTTGTCCGTTGATACATATTCCCGCTTCCTGTGTATTGTAAATTGCTTTTATCGAGTTTATGAAGTAGTACCCCATGTCCATTTCCTGCATTAAGGCTAAGAAATATTCCCAGTTTATTTTATCAAATGCCTTTTCGGCATCCAGCAACAACAAGGCACATTCTTTATCACAGTTCTTCTCGTAATATTCTATAATATTCACAATTGTTCTTACGTCGTCCTTGATATGACGCTGTGGGAGGAATCCTGCTTGCTCTTCTTTAATCCATATTTTTAAGAACCCCTTTAATCTTTCAGCTAGAATACTTGCATATATTTTGTAATCAATATTTAATAAAGAAATAGGTCGATAATTCTTAACGTCCATTTTATCTGTGCCTTCTTTATGAATCATCGTTATTCTTCCAAGTGTTTGGTATTCTTTGCATTTCCCGTGCTTGGTTCATCAGCATTTTCAGTTTTGGTATTAATTCCTGTTCGTAGACTTTGTAGAAAGTGGCTGTGAATCCGTCAGGTCTTGGTGTTTTGCTTGCATCTAGTTTAAGAATGGCATTATGAATCTCTTGTTCCGTTATTTCTTTGTTTAAACTTGCTCTTTGTTCCTCTGAGATCTTTTCCAGTTTCTGTTGTCCCAGGAATTGCATAATTTTTCTGTCTGAATTTGTTCTTTTGCATAAAGTGCCTTATAGTATATGTTAAACTGATTGATTATATCTTTTTTCTTTAGTATATTCTGTGTTATCTGTGATTATTTTCGTGATAAATTGATTCTGTCTCATTTCCCCTATTCTTCTCACTAACCATGTTCCCACCTTGTTTGCATTATGGAAATGTGTCTGTTTTGCATATTTTAACTTTCTTGCCATTTGTTCAGTTTCTAATTTTATCCTTTGTCTGTGCAACGTCTCTACCTCTTGTATTAAGTTGGTATTTTTTGGCTCATGTTTCAATTTCCTTTCTATTTCATCTAATTTAGTCATTATTATTTGTTTCTGTTCCTTTTTCTTCTTATTTCTTATCGCAGATTGCTGGATACAAATTTCTCAAAGTACTGCTTTCCCAGCATCCCAAATTGTTTGGATGTCCACGTCTTCTGTTTCATTATATTCAAAGTAGTTCTGTAATTGTGTTTTGATCGTTTGTTGTATTGTTGGATCTCTTAATAAATTATTATTAAGACGCCATGTACCTTGTCTTCTTTTTTGGTTGTAAATGACCTCGATGGGGCTATGATCACAGTCATGAATATCTAAATCTTGTCAATTTTAGATGAGAGAGAGTGCGTCGCCCAGACCATATCTATTCTGGACCAGCTCCTGTGTCTTGATGAGAAGTGTGTGTAGTCTCTTTCGCGGGCATGATGGGTTCTCCAAATATCTTGTAGATTCAGCTCTTCAAGGAGGTTCGTTAAGGTTTTGGGCAGCAGGTTTCTGTGTGTTATTTTTCCCCTTTGTTTCTGCTTTTCTGTCCCATTGACTATTGATTATACTGTTAAAGTCACCCATTACTATTAAGTGGTCGTATTCTTCTTGTTGGATCATTCTTTTCAATTTTTGTGTGAATTTTGATTTCGGTCCATTGCGCGCATAAATGTTGCAGACCAAGGTCTTCTGATTGTCTATTGTTAATGTCACCCCTACTATTCTCCCTTCTTCGTCTCTGAATGCTAACTGTGGTTCTAGTTGGGGGTTTACATATAGCACTACTCTCTTCTTTTCCACTGCCGATGAATAAAATTCTCTACCTAATTTTTTTTAGTTAGATGTGCAGAATGTCTCTGGGCTATATGGGTTTCTTGAAATGCTACCAAGTCATATTTACTTTGTCCAATTCTATTTAGTATCCTTCTTCGTTTTTTCCGGTGAATTCAATCCGTTTACATTTTGAGAGTAGCATTTAATTGTTCTTTCCATGTTCTTCCTTTTTCTCTGTAATTATGTCGAGTTTTGATACTGATGTGCCAGGGGTCTCTTCAGTTTTTTCCAGTGATTCTGTTCTAAATCTTTTGACTTGCATCTTTTTTCCTGGTATGTATTGGAAGTCCTGTTCTTCTTTATCTCTTGTTATTGTTTTTACGAAATCATTTGCTTTCTCTTCGGATGTGATCCATATCTTCTCGTTGTTGTACGTGGCCATTAATCCTCCTTTTTCCCATCGGAATTTAATCTGTTTCTTGAGTTCGTCTGTTAATGTCTTGTATTTCCTTCTTTTTTGTATTGTCGATTGTGGATACTCCTTTAAGATGATTTTTTTTTTGTTTTTGTAGTAGGGTGGGTTTTTGTAGCTTCTCTTGAGAATTTCATCTCGAACGTGTTTTCTACTGAATTGTACAATAACATCCCTGTCTACTTTATGCTTTTGGGCATAATTTGTCGAGATTCTGTATGTTTGATCAATATTTGTTTCAGCGTCATCTTATGGGATTTCTAGTATTTCTGATACCATTAGTTTAATTATCTGCCTCAGGTTTTCTTGTGGTTCTTCCTGTATGTTACGGAATCTTAAATAATATTCTAGTTCTTTCTGTTCTTGTTGATCTAGTCTTGCTTCCATTTTAGCTTCCTTCAGTTCCATGTCCTCTAGCTTCTCATTTATTTTTTCCTGCACC